TTGCCCAACGATCTGGCCGTTCTGTTGGGGGATTACTAAGGAAACTGTAAAGGTCATAGAGTGCTACTTAGATTCCGCAGACTCCAAAGGGTGCTCTCAAACTCAGGGGCATGTCTGGGGCTCTTTTTTCAAAGGTTGGCTTCTGCATGCTTCGCACCTGCCACATCCTCCAGCGCCCCAGGGGCTGCGAGGGGGAGCGGAGCCCTCCAGGCCATGACTGAGCCAAAGCTGCGAAGTTCAAAAAGCCTTATACAGGCAAGCTCATGTGACTTTCTTCTGTTGGAACTGACACTAACACAGGCCTCCAGGGAGTAGTACCTTGTAGGGGAAAGAAGAGCAGCTGACGAACTGCAAACAGCAACGCTGCTAATCTCGCCAGCGCTGCGCGGAGTCTCGAACATGCTCATCTTCGTCCTCCATCCTCGGGAGGGCTCAAGTGCTGTGTCCCTGTAGGCTTCAGGTGACCCAGGCCTTTCTTCCACCTTCTTTGCAATGTCCTGAAGCACTTTAGCGCACGAAAAGAGTCTCTGCAAGCAGGCAATGCCTTGTGAGTGCAGCGCCTCCATGTCTTGAGTTGCAATCTTCTCAAGGAGCTGCACGCAAGCCTCTTCAAGCGCGTGCCCAGAAAACTCTGAGACACAAAGAAGGTCTCTTCTCTTTCCGCTGGCGCACTTTTCACCTTCTTGCGCAGCCCTTCATGTCCGTGCACGAGTTGCAGCCATGGAAGCTGAGGACAGATGAGGAGGAGCTGATGGTCTCTGAAGTAGAACCTCGAACCGCCTGAACAGGCGGATGCCTGCAAGTCCTTGGAGCCCAGGCAGCGAGCTGGCAGCTCCGGCATCATCCGCGGCACGTCGTATGAGGGCCTCCAACTCTGCGCTGGCCACATCCCCGTTTTGGCAACAGCTGATCCCACAATCTGGTGCTCTAGCTGATTGGCAGGTGGTCGATGCAGCGCATCGCATCGTAGATGTCATTGGTCCAGGTATTCCATGGGGACCTCCGCATCAAGAGAGCATAGAACCTCGGAGCTCCAGTTGAGCAGGCGCAAGGACCAGTAAGGGCTGCCGGTTCAATGACCATTGATCGTCAAAACTACAATGATGAAGAATGATACCAGTAATGGCAAAGGTATGATGATGTTTGCAAGGCGCCACTCCACGACCTTCGCCAGGTGCTTTTTGACACGTTCCTTGCTGTGCTAAAGTCTTCACAGTCACCGCCTTCTCATCATCAACATTCACAACAACGCTTCGTGAGGTTGGACCATTCAAAATCTTCGCAATCAACCTGCCAACCGACCCCATCCCCCATCAACGCTTCGTCCAAGTCTCGCTTTCGGCTGGGCACTTAGGCAGCTTGGGGAAGAAATCCTCCTGCGTCCCAACTGAGGGCTGTATAGCACGAAGCCGTGCTAAAAACTTTGACACGTTGCAGCTAGTGAAGGCTAATGGACACAAAAGCATATTTGCAGTGCGATGATGAGAAACTTGAGGCGGCTACTGTTAACAACACCGGTGATGACAGCGCAATGTGTAACTTGACTGTCCTACCTAGCTGTCCATCCTGCACGATCTCTCGGATAAGATCCTTGGCAGCCTCCTCCGTCTTGGCCCGCCTCGAGTCCGAAGTTTGAAGGACGAAGGGTCTGAAAGGGAAAAGGTAGGTTGAAGCTGTAGAGTTGGGGAGCAGGACGAGCTTGATACAGTAATTTAATGACAAGCTCCACCCACTGTAGCACCGCGTCGCTATGTGCCAGACAATCATGGGGCATTGGCTACCTTCTAACATAATCGAACGCCGTGCTCGTCCTGGCCTCACGCTGCTGATGAGGTTAGTCACAAAGGTGGTGCCACGCCCTTGGCACGGTGGCCGCATGTGTTTTGACGGTCAACATGGAGCACCAAACTGGAGAAGATCGTGGACAGCAGCAACAGCAATTTCTAGTAGTTTCCGTTCTATGTTCCATTACCCCTATATACCCCAATATACTATAGCAGCTTCCCTTTCCTTTTTTATTATCCCTGTATAACCCCAATTCTCCTCTTAGTGTGCTTCCCGGGCGCCTTTGCCACAGATCAAGTGTTGTATCACCAGCGGCAGCATTGTCGATAAGTCCACATCCAAAGCCGGCTTGTGTAAATCCTGACGACACTGCTCAGTGGCTAATCATGGAAAGCAAGACAGAAGACGAACAGCCCAATGCTATGCAAAAATGCACTAATATATAGGTTTCCATTTACTTTTCCATTATCCCAATATTACCCCTAAACCCTAAACCCTTTTTAACCCATTAGAATAGTTTCCATTATCCCTACAACCAAATTTAGTCACCAGAAACATCATCTGCGTAGCTCCCGTTTTAGGGCGTGCCTCAGGCTCGCGGCTGCGGGAGCCCTGGATGTACTCTGAGGGGAACCTGAGGATGGCATTGCTACAACTCTTATTGCCTCACCCTAAGGGTCCAAGGACCCAAATAACAGGGCTTTAGGGTCCAAGTACCATTAACACTGTAGCAGTATTTGGGCCCTAAAACCCTATTATTTGGGTCCTTGGGCCCTTAGGGTCAACTACTGTTCGTGCTGTTCATACTCTTCATGCTGCCGCTGGCAGCATGTGTTCATCGAGCGGACCTGCGTGTGCTACCCAGGCCAAATCCTGTCAACTGTACATTTTGCGTGGTTTTCGTGCATATTTCCAGCAGCTTGTAAGCTCCTATGTTACTATCGTACACGATGAAGCCTACAAGATATGTCAAGATATTAGCGTTGATTTGCAAAACTCCAAAACATGGTAAGCTTGCACAAAACAACCATGTTCAAAGCTCCTTGGATGATTTCTCTAGGGTCTTGCGGACCTTCATGCTCTAAATTCAACCCATTTTTGCGCGTGCAACTTTCTGTCTAGAACTTGGGACGGAGCAGTTTTAGCAGAAGCTTGACCTGAATTGCTTCATACTGACATTGTGTCTTATACTTGACTTCTTGATTTATGGTTGATAACCAAATTCACATCATACTGAGGCCATTGCGTGTCTATTAAAGCAAAGACCGCCCGTGTGCACAATCGGCCGTCTGCCCCGAACAGCTCTCTTCCAGGTGACTGGATGGAGCCCTTGCTGTCGCCATCGATGTCGATGAGCCGAGCTTTCCTCCATCTGCTTGGGATAGAGGAAACTGAGGAACCGTGTCTCATGAAGCCGTTCAATAACAATTCTCTCTACTCTAATAACAGATGGCAGAGTGTTGATGCTGTTTCAATGTTCTTGAAAGTCAAATGAAAAGACAGGACAAGATTCCCCTGAAGCCCACTTCAAATACATATCAACAATGAGGCACCCACCTCACAGAAACCCTGAGTCCTGCAGTCTCTAGAGACGAGGACGTTGTTCATGTGGTTGAAGTCGAAGGCCTGACGATCACAAGAAAAAGCAGCAGCAGAGGTTCATCATGTCAGCAGGAAAGCTGTGCAGCTTGACCAGAGGAGCAAGGCTTGAAGTAGAAGTGATAGTAAGAGTAGCAGCATTTACCCGGTGAGAGCGGGGTTGAGCTGCCACAAAAAACCGTGAGGAATCAGAAAAAAGATCAGAAAATGTCCTCGTACACTCAGTCAGGAATTGTCAGGGCACAGTCCGGAACCACAACAAAAAAACGTAAAAAGCAAGGAAATATCTGACGTCGTGTATACCGTATATCTATGCAAGTCATCTGGTAATTTTCCCTAGTTGGTTCTCAACCTACGTTTTCACGTTCCATTTTCATCTTGGTTGGGGAACGCTAGCCTAGTCAATTTCCGTCCAGCCAGGACACCAGAACTAAGCTAAGATGAGCGCATCTGGTCCGGCGTGCTCACACCACCCACAACAAAAGCACTGGATGGTCCTTCATGGAACGAACCCTTCTACTGCTCTGAAATGCTGGGGTCCCCCCATCTTCGGATCAGATGCAATCACGATTTGCACATACAGCTCACAAATGCTCCCGTGGACTCGCCAGCCGGTATGAAAGTCTGACATCAAAAGCGCACGGTGGCAAGCAGTAAACAACACGGTTTTTCAACGGGCTTCTGCTGCAGAATAAGCTCTGCTAGCAAATCCTGCACAAAGCGTTTGATGGCTACCAAGGTTCAAGTTGCAACTACACATCCGGTTTGCACAGAGACGCCCAATGCCCTAAGCTCTCGGGTTGGTTTCATCATCGAGTCAAACTCACGTTTGCCATGGTCTCTGAACTTTGTGTATTGCAAATCCTCTTGGATGGTTCCAGCTTAACGGCTGTCCGGCACGTCGGTATCAGTTCGAAATGTATCAGCTGCAGACCACTCTGCCTGCAGCTGATCGCTGCACCTCCCAGGTGAATGCTTTGCAAATTGTGGCACACCGTCTTGTCAGGTGTGGGATTCAGCAACCTGAGCAAGAGAAGTGAAGTCTGGGAATAAGAGCCAACAACTTGTACACGCGAGAAGGTTTTGCATGTTGCGGCCCCGTTTCCCGCTCGGTCAGGTGTGCGGCCCATTGCTCTGCACTGACGTCTGCTGATGTGCAGCTTAAGCTTCGTACAGACCCCCCACTTCCCCGCCCATCCGCCCACCTCTTTTTCAAGTGTTTCAAAACTATTGGTGACATTGAGCCCTGTTAAAACTTCTAGAAGTCTGATATCATTTCGGCTCCTGTGTGGTGCAAGTAGTATCCAACTAAGTGAAGTTCAACATTTAATGTATGATAATCACACCTATGCCTGCAACCCAGACAATACTCTCTTCGCATCTGAGGATTGCATTTTTCTGAACGACAAAACAGCAGGTTCCTCCATGAAAAAAAATAGTTGCTGATCCGAGCACAGCTGTTGAAACCTGAGCAGTCTTACTTGGGCTTCACGGGATTCATTGCACCATTGCCAAGAAAGGCTTGCAGGGGGTGAGGCTATCGGGCTTTTTCACTAGTAGGGAGTTTGTCACGGAAGCGGGCTCCAAGCATTTGAACTCTTGACGTCCTCATCCAGCTAGCTGCCAGAACCACATTGCACTCTACACAGCACAGGCATTCGATGGCAAGAACACACAGAATGACAAGACCGGTGCGCCTGTACACCCATTAGCGTCAGGTCCCTGAAGCCATTCAAGAGACTGACCTTAGAGGCAGAAGTCATCACCCTATGGGCAGTTCCATATTGTGATTATGGCATGGGCTCTTTTCCAGTGGGCCTTGACAGGCCAACATTATCGTGGGTCACAAAAAAGTAAACGCAAGAATTGAGAAATGACCATGCGCGTGATGGTATACTGCGCAATAATTTTCACTCTAGATGATGAATTCGAGCACCAACTTCCAGTATCTTCCAGTATGGTCATTCACCTTGTGGCAACTATGACTTTTTCAGTGCCAAATGTGAGATCACCAGCATTTCAAAGTCCAGGCCGGGATGCCAGGAGTACCTTCACCTTGATCAGCGAGAACTTGGACTGCATGTCCTTGATGCGCCAGTGCTCCTCCCGAAGCGAGTGGGATGTGGTGCTGAGGCGAGAATACAGGTTGTGATCATTGGCGGCAACGAGAGTAGCATCAACGGCACTAATGATACTGGCCCGATGAAAGTGGCGTTTTCCGCATTGAGAAATCGAGGACAATTCAATCCGAAAGTCACAAGTCATCCAGGGCCTCAGGCGAGAGATCACCGGATGCGAGCACCTGACCACCAAAAGCCAACCATGACTATCCTAACCAGAAAAGATATTGACACTGTATCTACGTCTAGTAGCGGACACCGTAGCAGCTGCAAAATAGCAGAAAGGCCTTCGTGTAATCATCCATGAACTGCTTCAGGGTGTAGGATGAAAAGTCTTCTTGGTACTGCGAGAGCAGGGTCACCTGTCAGCACACTGGATACCTTTGCTCGGCGCTTGGCTTTCCACACTCCAGCCTCAAACTTGTACTCGTCATGGTTGTTATTGTTGGAGGCCAGGGCTATACCTAACTAACAAGATATGGTAGTTTCATGTAGTTTCCCTAAATATGGGGACCCCAATATAGACCCTAAGAGCTATAATCCTTAGTTATTATTGTGGGTTTGGGGATACCATTAAATTTTGGGAAACCCACACGTGTCGATGCACACTTTGAGGGAGGCCTCTTGCATCCTGGGGTAGCTAGGCGCCCTGCCGAGGCCATAGAAGTACAGAAGCCGTCCCTGCTTGTTCAAGGCTCCCGCCATGCGCAGCCTCGAAAAACTCTTGCAGAGCTCGGTTGAGAGAAGCCACTTTGCTTATGGGTGATTAGCCGGGAATATACTTTAATCCCTGTATATAGTCACTATGTAAAGTACTCTCGTATTCCCTGCTAACCCCCAGCAAGTTTGGCAACGCTTGGCCTCTTGGCCACACCTGCTTCCGACTTGTGCTCCATGGACGCGAGCATCTTCCAGAGGCCTAAAATCTAAAGCTGACAGCCAAACCTAAACCCCACCAACCCCAAAAAAAACCTAAGTTCGAATTTCATTGTCCGTTCTCTTTTTCATTTGATTCTCCACTGTTTAAAGCCCCAGATGGTGAGGGCGCCAAGGCTTCGGCTGAAGGGTCGCTTCACCGCGGCGTCCCAGCGGCGCTCGAAGGAGTGGTCAGAGCTCAGGCGGCCTCGGCTCCATGGGCTGTGGACCTTAAGTGTTTTTCAATACGTGGGGCACACCAATTTTGTAACCACAAAACAGCCTAATCCGTTTTAGGGTGACTTTCTCATAAGGCTTCAGGAGATTCTCTCGATCGTCACCACTAATGTTACTAGCACGAACCGCATTAGTACGCACTTAGCCTCAGTACTTGGCAATCATTATCGTTGTTGTGAAGGCACCACAACCGCAACCACCAGCACAACTACTACTACTGCTGGCAAAGCATGAATGACTGCGCAGGCAATGGCAATAGTGTCAACAGGAAACACACAAAGAATGCTACTTCTCTTCTTCATCTTCCTCTATTTGGCCAGGCTGCGCAGGCGGAGGCCCCTCCGGACAGGTTCCGGATCCTCGAGGCGCACCCTGACTGGTGGTTTTTTGTAAGTGGGGAGCTGACAATTACCGTGATTACTACCTAGTTACCTACTTGGCTCACCGGACTCCCTTCACGCATGCCTTTTCCCGGGCTACATTGTGATGTCTCAGCGGTGGAGCGCAGAAGGGCCAACTTCCATCCCTTCCAAGCAAGACAGTCCTTCTCCACCGCTTCCAGCTCCACTCGATGCACGATGGCATTGGCCCCTCGGATCCGAGAGCTCTGGCGACAAGGCACGGAAATCCCAAAAAAGTTGAGCTTCTTTCAAGTAATTACCCACCATAATTTGGCCCCCAGCTTTGGAATACCTAACTAATTGAGCAAGACTAGAAACCCCGAAGGCTTTTCTTGCTTCATCCAGAACTTGTCTGCTCATGCCAAGATGCCCATCCCAAGAATGCCGCCCTCGCCCGGATGGTCGAACCTAGGAACTGGGGGATATAGGGAGCTATAGGGGGTTTCTAGGGGGTTTATAGGGGGATGTGGGGGGATATGGGGGGATATAGGGGGGCATGGGTGGCCGATAGCCTTTGTCTCTCCTCCAAAATGTCCCGCGTCAGGGCTTGGCGAGCACATTTCTTACTGCTGGCTTTCTACGCTTCTACGCGTACCATTCATGGATTTCACACTGCTCTTCTGCTCATCCTGGCCAGGATTTGAATGAGTGCTGGTCGATCGAAGGAGGTATGAGAACGCAAGATCCTGTTGTTTTATGACTCGTGTCCATTCTTGCTTATGCTGATGGGCACTGGAGGAGAAGCTGAGGGCTCAACTGCTGTCGCTCCATCTTGCTGGTAGAGATATTCATGAAATCCTCCGCTGCATGAGGCATGCCGCACGCCACAAACTGAACTGACAGGCATGACAGTGAAGCCAAGTTGCACGCTTGCTTCGTGGATCATCCGAATAGCTGAAGATGATGGGATTCGTGGACCGGAACGCCTCGCCTGCGTACTCAACATGTTGGGCAACAATCCGTGTGCAGCCCAAACATCCTCTTGAAACGCCCTGTGAGCTCACGGGCCTGAGGTGAAGTCCCAAGCGCGAAGGTTTGTGTCCAGGAAGTTCTCAGCCAGCAAGGTGCCCGGCGCACCTGGCCGTTCCTCGTGACCTGATTTCTCACCCAAGATCAACAACACGTTGCGAGACTCATCGGCATCAAAAATCATGATAACATAGTAGTTTCCATGATCCCAATATCTACCCAATATATAACAGTGACCCTAAGAAACTTGACCTTTCATGAGACCCTCAACCTGAATCAGAAAATGCCAGCCAATACTGAGCACCCCGGCGGAAGGTAAACGGCTCGTGCCTGTCCTTGTCGCCCTTCAGCCTTAGCCCCAACGCATCAAACATCCTGCTGCTTGTGGACCACCCAGATCAAGGATATATGTGGTGCTTACAATTCTGCCTTTGTTGTTCCTTCGTCTTACGCGGAGATCCGTTTCTTGTCTCAAGCTAGCCGAGCAGCACAGAGAAGATCGCCAGCTCAAAGCGACACCTGCAGAATCATTGTTAACGCTGCTTTCGCCGTCACTACAACTTAGATCTACCCGTCCTGGAGTTCCAGCAGATGATCGTGCTGGCACCTCCAGAGGAATCGAGGCATGGCAAAGAAATGCAGGCTACCAGAACGGAGAAAGCGCTTGCGCGAGGGCTGGGTGCACCACCTAGACTGTCACCGCCACTGGCTTTGACAATTTCCAGTCCAAAGGTGGACTGCAGACGTGAAATCTGAACGCCGACCTCAGTCACGGAAGTTTCACGCGCATGGAAAAAACAGAAACAAAATATGTAGAACTTTGGTGGGTGTTTGCCAAGAAGCCACACACACCAAAAGCACCATGCACACATAGCTATACACACTTTGTGGATGTTATCCTCAGTGCAATTTGGGCCCTGTGTGCCTCAACGGCCGCTTCCTCCAGCACCAGGTCGAACTCTGGAGGCAGCCCAAACATGGTGAACATCATCCAAGACTTGCCGATGACACACTTCCTAGGGCTCAGGGAGATAGCGCCCATGTCGCTTAGTTTTATTCCCCAGCCCAACCCATTGTGAATTAAGATGGTAATGCAGACTACTGCAAACGGCGTGGTAGATGTTTCATTACAAAATATGCTATAAACTTTGCCTACTGTCAATGTTAAAGCCATACACGTAGAATGTATACTTTTTGTGCGAAAGAACGCGAAGTATGCACAAGAGGAACAAAAAGGCGATGAGTTGATTAAGTTGTCTACATAAAAGGAGTGTCTGTTACTGGTGATTTTGTCTTGTGTGATGCCTTTGCTTTGTTTGCAGTGTCTGCTTTGTCATGGATTTGCTTTGTGTTTGGCAGCTTTGGTGGCCAAAAATGTGAAGCTCACACAAGGTTTAGCATTCAGGGTTTGGGGAGAGCGGGGTTGGGCGTCGCGGGCCGGATTGAGAGGTTGGTGTTGACTGACTACGTACTCTTTCTCAGGCTGCTACTATACAGTAGCCCTGATGGCAGGGCCTGAGTCGCAAGGCTCGAAGTGTCTGCTTCTTTAGAGGAATGTTTTCTGGGATGTTTGAAGAGTAACTCACCATGTTTGCCTCATCTTGGAAAATCCCTGATTCCGACCAAAGCTCTTCTCGCACGTCAAGTATGAGTTCACTCGATCGTTGAGGATCTGCCGAACCGTGTCAATTGTGGCCTCTACCTTAGCAGCTGCCAAGAACGAAGGTCCTCCCCACCTTGTAAGACCCCACCGAAATATGGTACCAAATGAGCCATAGTCTAAACTCTTAGCATCCCAGCTAATAGCCCCTTATAGCAGTCCCCTATATAATCAATCCCCTATATAACCCCCCCTAAGGAGTTTGGACCCTAAATCCTAAACCCTATATAATCCCCTATATAACCCTTTCAGGAGTTTAGACTATAACTCAAACAAGGTTTGGGATCCTGCAACTCTGCCAAGCTTCCGGGATGACGGCAGCCATGGTGCAGACGCCCGAGACCAAAAGTTCCACCTGGGTTGTATAGGGCTGTATAGTTTAGGGTTTGGGGTTTAGGGTTTAGGGGTTTAGAGTTTAGGATAATATGGGGAATCTACTAGTCAATTTTTGGCATTTACATGGGGTTTAGGGATATTATCCCGCAATAATGGAAAATCAAATGGAAAAGAAAATGGAAAATGAAGTGGAAACCAAGGTCCCTTTAAAGGGATATATAGGAATATTACCCCCCAATAATGGAGAATCAAATGGAAAAGAAAATGGGAAATGAAATGGAAACCCTAGGTCCATTTAAAGGGATATATAGGGATATTATACCCCAATAATGGAGAATCAAATGGAAGATAAAATGGAAAATTAAATGGAAAACTGTTATTATGTAGACATGGGATTATATGGGTCGTTCTCAAAATGATGGGCCTCTTTTGGTTATAGAGTATGTTACAACACCTAATATTTAAGAGTACCAAAATGGGACTCTAATTTTGGGAACTACCCGCCTCCACTTGAGAGGAGTCGGGGAAGGTCTCGACCTTGAGGCGCTTGCCCTGGACAGGCGAGGGAAAGAACGGAAGTCAAATGGGGGTTTCCCAAAATTAGGGTACCTTTGGCCTTTTGGGGGCCCCCATAATCAGGATTATAGTGTATTAGGGTCTCTGTTGGGGTCCTCTTATTTAGGGAAACTACCAAATATCCCTTACAACATTATGGAGGGAACGTAGGTTGAATCATACAAGTTACTTCACTCCAGCAGCCAGGAAAAGTCTTGCAAATGTTTCAGCCGCCTTGAAGGAAGTTGAAACCCGTGAAGCCTTCAGCAGAGCTGCCTTCTAAGGTGTACTTTGTCACCCCAAAAATGACGAGTCCCTTGTCAAGCGCAATGTTTTAAAAATTTCACACTGAATTGAACCGCCTCTGGACCGATGAATTCCACGGTGTGTTTCCTAGTCATTGTTGAAACAAGTACGTAGTATAGTAGTGTAGTAAGTGCTGCCACTCTTCCCGGCACCGGCCTTTGGTGGGTCGGGCAGCGGCCGCAGCTGCGGTGAGGGTTCTTTGCCCCTGCCAGCATCGTTTTCTTAGCCATGGGGTGGAGCTGGGATTCCCTAGACAACACACTATTACTATTTGAAGTATTACCATTATTATTATTAGTATTCCTATTATTACTATCATAGCTTTCTCCAGCAGCCACTTCTTGTCATACATTCAAACGATCAGTGGATAGTGGCTGCCGCGATGCGGTGCACAGCAGGAAAGTCGCAAATGCAGTACAGAGTGCCAACAACAACTACACAAATAACGTCCCGAATCAACAATATCACGAGCTTACTCTGGCATGGTGACAGGATTTCTGTCCATTTGAAGAGACTTGCCGCAGACTGTGCGAACATGTCCGCAGATCTGCTGTTACATTCTGTTACTTAAGTACGGACCCGATAAGCCCATTAGCCCATTACCACGAGTCATCTCGCCTGAGCCGCTGTTCGATGATTTCCAACTCCACAAGCTGCCGCTGGAAGCCCACATTCTCCAAAATGAAGGGTCGGCACTTCGACTACAGCAGAAGGAGAAGGGCAACAAGCAGTAGCAGGTCTGATGAAGCAAACTGAGCCTACGACACAGACCGTGAGGATCTCCTCCAGTTTCTTCCCATTGAGGATCTGCACCGCCACTGCGAGCGTGGCGGAGCGATTCTGCCCTGCAACACAGAAGAAGAGCACGTTGCCACCTGGAGACTGCAACTTCTCAGTGCAACAGCTGAAAGGAATATATTTTCTAGCGGCTATGGCGATTATATTCCCATCTTCCCTACTAGCAGCCAGTAAGAAGAGCTTTCTGTCAACAGCATCTCACAGGTTGCGCCTGCACCCCGTATGCGGTCGTAGAACGACTTCGCAGTATCCAGGTGCTCTGACCGCTGGCCATCGCGATCATGCAGAATTGGATAACTGTAGTCATCCTCCAGGCGCAACTTCGGACAATTGAGCTGACATGAACAACGGAGGCCTATGTGTATGAAGTAGGAACAGTGAACCTTGCAAGAATTGTCCACATCAGCTCCTGGCTGACATTTGTGTATCCATAGGCGATGCCTCAGAGCACTCAGAGCACTCTTCATCTCATCTGCACACACACGCCACTGATGCCGTCTTGAGCTGGGGTGAGCTGAGGGGCCATGAGCAGAGTACATATCCAAATTCAGGGAGCTGATTCCAGTTGGCGCACAGTTCATGGCACCCGTGACCTTAGCAGAAGCAGATGGCCACAGCTGCAAGGCTGCAAGCATCATGACGACGGGGCACACCTAGGCTGACCAACGTGCGAACGTCCGTCGCATGCCTCTTGTTTCCGACGAAGAGGCCCTCCCCCACCTGAAAAAATGCGGATGAAGGCAAACATACTGCTGGGATGAGCTCCGTCACAATGGGAAGTATCATCATCTCGATTCTTGTGAACTCGTGATGATCCCTGTCCTCGTTGATTCTTATTGTTACAGAGGATCACTGCCAATCATATCAGCTAGTTGCTACTCATATCCGCGCGCCTAGGCTCCAAAGAGGGAGCAACAAGTGTGAGTTGCCAGTGTCTGCAATCTGGCCATCATCTCCTTGACCTCGAACCCTTAACATCTGAAATCCAACACCTTAACCTCTAAGCTCATAAGCCCTCTATGCCCCCAGGTTCCATGTCATCATCTATTTTTCCTTTGTCTATCGGGTGCTGCACTTATTCTTCAGTGCGCGGGCCCCAAGTCCCCCAAACCCTGTACTCGATAATGTACTAGGTTGCATTTGGTTTTCCCATGTTCGTTTCCATTTGGTTCTCTATCATTCAAACTCATATTATAAAACCTAAACACTGGAATTACATCCCTGTTAACACTTTGAAAGGAATCCAAAAAGAGCCCAAAGTGTCCATCTTCACCATTCCGCTGACTTCCCCATTCCCTGCCTGAGAAGGGCAGGTGTCCTGGCCATTGATCGGCTGGGCCACCAAGCGCCGCAGCATTTTGAGCTTGGCCTGACTCAAGTAACCACAATGGGGTTTAGGCTTTAGGGGCTACGTGGGGGTTCTATACAGGTTCTTAGGAGTCATAGCACTTCTAGAGGGTTCAACGAGGTTATATATGAACAGGGTTGAATTACTAGAAGACTTGTGAAGTACAGTTAAGAATTCATGGATTCTGTATGAGGGACCATATTAGGGACTATGCTAAACTACAAGAGGGACCTGTGTCCATTGTTAAGGCTTCCTCAATGAGGCTAATAACAACGGTAGCTCATATGGTAGATGGTCTGAGGAGTTTTTGCGCAACCCCTTAGACTTTCTTCAGCGTCTTTAAGGGGGTTTGGGCTTACAGTTTGGGGTTTGAGCTCAGGCTTTGGTGGTTTAGGGTTTAGAGTCCGGGTTGTGGTTACACAAGGATGCTGAAGCGGTGGCTCTTGTGTTAGGCATCTAGTGACTGAAGTGAGCCAAGTATTCATAGAATCCATTTAGCAACCATGTGGGGCTACGTGAGTTACGTGAGGATTGAAAATGGTCCCTCGACGATCTCCACATGTCCATAGCGGTCGCTTAGGGATCCTCGATTCCCCGTATCTCCGCAAGAAGGCCCAAAAGCCCTATATAGCCCTATGTAAACCCCAGGTAACCCATACAAACCCCTACATAAGCCCAGTATCAACCCCTGGAACCCATTAATGACCCTCACAAACTTTTTTTAACCCCAATATAAACCCCTGGAACCCATTATGGCTAGTTTCAGCTTCGCTGAGTAAGACCATACGAAGCCAGGCCTCCATGGAGACCTGCCATGCTGCCACGGTCTAGGGTTTCGGGTCTGGAGGTTAGGGCTTAGGGTTCTTTTTGGGGGGGTTAGGGTTTCGTGTTTGAGGTTTAGGCTTTGGGGTTTAGGGATTTGTTTTGGATAAGACCCTGGGTCAGGGCTTAGGCTTTTGGGTTTGGAGTCCGTCTAAGGTTGAAACCATGGGCCCCTACTATGGGCCCTTAACCTTGTATACCTGCTGTATACCTTATACACTATATGTACCCGTAAGGGTCCCTAGAATCGCCCTAAAAAGCCAAACCGCCCGTATTAGGGGCCCATACTTGTATTCTGAGGTGGAATTTAGGGTTTGACTTGAGGTTTAGGATTTGTTTACTTGCACCTATGCTCCATGGCCAGCGAACGAACCGGGATTCGGGATTCGCAGTGCAGCGTTGTGCGTTCACGGCGTGTGTCACACAACAAGATTAGTGCTGACTTTGCAGGTGGCCGCTTAGCAAAGGTCAGGGCCGTGAAAACCATACCACAAGCATTATAACATAGTATACAGTATGCTATCTTATATCAGAATATACTATATATTATATTATATTATAGTAAACTATACTATAGTATATTAAAGTATATATTATAGTATCAACAAAAAAATCTTGGTGTTTCGCAAGAAAGCCAATTTCAAGAGCCCGCATGTCTCTGGATGGCCTCGCTGATCTCCAAGATGCCCTGAAGCTCTCGCTTGCCATTGCCATTGCCATTGGTCTCCATGGCCAGAAAAACCCTTGTACTATAGCTTTCATGCAATGCGGCTGCAATTGAGAGGCTCAACCATTCAACTAAGTTCCTATCCTGAGGCGCTTCCCCAGCGTTGCGCTGCAGGTTGTGTCATCTCACGTGAACCGAAGGGGCTGGTAGGGATGTCTTGCGGCTGCATTTGGATGAGAACGCCTGTTTACGCTTGTGGCAAAAATGAATGGTACTGACATTCAGGCTCAGGCCGACTGCGACTGTTGTAATTCCATTAAGGTAGACTTATGCCATCACTGTCCCCTTGGCAACTATGGCTCCTGGACCTATTTGTCTATTTTGACCGTCTTCCTCAGCCACAACAGCAAAGCAGACTTAGCACCGCACCCGGGTCTTGGTGACAATTTCTTTTCGAGCATACATAAGATACCAAACAAAAAAGCCAGAGTTCAACATATTCTCCGACTTGCATACCCCCTCCTTTCTCCATGATCTTGACGATGGCAAAAACTTGGTGTGAAATCATTTGGTGCAACCTGCGTGGGGAGGGCGCATAAGGGTTTGGGAGGAAGGAAAGGAAAACACCGCCTTTCTTTCGTACAAGTAGCTTTTCACACCTTTCTGCTGAAACTGCTGTTGTTGCTTTCTTATCACCCTTACATGCTGGTCCCGTGTTGCTGATGTAATTGCTATTTTAATTGCTACTCGCCCAAGCTGTTCTCAAAATGTTGACAACGTGGACCCTTCGTGGGTGTCTAGCACTGGCACGGCGCTTAGCGGCTTAGCACTTGGCGTTACGAAAAACGGGGCCTTGATGGTCCTGATTTGCAGAAACTCCATCATGATTACCCTAAACACGAACCTTCTAAAGGTCACCATTTTGAGACAAATGTCCTGATTATCTCAGCTTTCAGGCACACGCCTGACGGGTGCCAGGATCGCGATGCTCCAGACGGGCCTCCGCCAGGGCAATGGCCTGCAAATCTTCGTTTAGGCTTCAGGGGTTCAGCTCTAGGATTCAAGGTCTTGCGTTCAGGGCTCCCAGCTTGGGTTTTTGGACTTCTGTGCCAAAGGTATCAACTTTTAGCCTTGCTAGGAGCATTCACGGCCAGAGGCTCAAGAAAGGGACCAGGATTTTGGCACATACCCATGAAAGTGCATGCAGGGGTTCACACAGCTTGCAAGGCTCGCCATTTCCACCACCATGGGATTCAAATGTGTTCTACCGAACGTCTGCCAAAGGGAGACCAAGGGATCTGTACACTGTACAACTGCAACTGTGTTATGTCTCTGTCCCATATGGCGCATTGCCTGCTCAACTCATAATTCCTGAGCTTCCCCTGGTCCTGGTTCCTCAGTCTTCCTCAGCATTTGGTTGTCTGAGCTCAACACTGCCAGGGTCTACCTCGGCTCTTCCTTGGACCCTCCCAGCGCTTGTGGCGCTTGCTCACCGTCATGTCGGATCTCTGGAGCTTCCGCAGATGTCTCTGGACAGAACGGTCATGGAACGGATTCCCCAAGATCTCCGGCTTGGGGACACTTTCCTTCAGCAGCAGCTTCTCCAGCAAGCGCCCAATCTGCGCAACGAGGGCTTTGAGCAGGGTGGTGGCGGGCCCAAGTGGTACCAAGCTCTGGGCCTTGGCATCCTGAACAGCGGCCTTTTCCTGAGCCTTTCGCATGGCCTGAAGTCTTTCTCTGGAATCCTCACAAAGTCCTGTTGGCCTGCTCTAAATGCTCTGAGCCCAAAGATGTCACGCCAGCGCAAGAATCAGAAACTCATTATGGTAGTTTCCATTATGTTTTCCTTATCCCTACAAGAATACCCCCAAATATATACCCTATTGTAATATCGTAATTTGCTATTCCTGATGCTTGTGAGATACCGAAAGCCACCAAAGGGCCTTGCGGTGGCCGACGCCGCAGAGCTCAGCCATGCCATAGATGGCGGCCATCCGCGGCAGAGGATCGAAGTCCTTCTTGCAAGTGCTTGGATTTGGACAAAAAGAATGCAACCTTCGGGCTTGCAAAAGAAAATTACACGGATCCAGTCCTCAAGCATGCGTGCCAACTTCCGCAAGGAAGTCAAGTCGTTCAGGGTGGCGGTGGCTGCAAGCGAGTCCGTGGCGGCCTGAAGGCACCCTTACTGACTTCCCCGCTCTCATCCTAGACGACGACCCAAGCCTTGCGCACAATCCATGACCTGCCAGGTTGTAAGGGAGCAGCAGTGCCGCGTCTGATGGTCAGCTTGGGGTCCTATCATCACACGCGCTCTTCTCTAGCTCGATGGCATGCTGGTCGCCTTTTTCCTTGGACACCACAAGTTCCAGCAGCAACAAAAAGACTCAGAGAGGCTCGGGCAGCGATCTTGGCAACCTCGGGTGCACAGGGAACGATGCCAAACCGATGAGATACAGTCAATATTTCCTACAGAATTACTGGACATGGGTTCCTTAATATTGACAGGAGCTCATCTGTTTCTCCTGGGTCACTGGCTGCCACAACGGCCGCCCTGCGAACGGACTCGTGCCAGTCGTCGAGCCTTTTTGCTTTGGATCCGCTCCCAAAGCCCAAACATAAACAGCTGTGCTTAACACGTGTGATGTAAACTTCTTTGTTCCTTTGTTTGGGTTTTGAGCTGTGCCTGGGCGAGATCCAGTCAATGGCCTCGCGCGTGCCCCTGGGAACCAAAGCTGCAATAGCCTGAGGAGCATCTCACGAAGGGGCTCAATGTCTTGAATTGACAACAAGTGGAATGGCGCTCTGCAAGGCACTGTATTCGCCAAGTATCTTCCTCCTTACAATGTTCTTGTGAATATTTATGGCAAGCCAGTCGCCCCGGATTTTTTTTTAGAGCTGAGCCCCGAAGCTTGCCTTGATTGCTGACTCTCGGACGGTCCCCATCTGATCCTGGCACACACCAGGTCCAGGTCTAGTTGAGCACCTAAACCCAAGATCCTGATAAAGTAAATCGTAAACATGGCCCAAAACTCCAGGAAGCCAAAGGAAAACCCAAGTAGCCAGTACTTGCCCACACCTGTTTATTTGTTCTTTGCCAAGGGAAATGTAATCTTCAAAAAATGCATGGAACCAGCATGAAATTCCTACAGAGTGAGAATAGATCCCACAAAATCTCCCATCCACACACCTAGAAGGGAAGTCCGGGCTGATGTCAAGCGAAGTCCTGCCTCAAGCAGTCGTTTTGCTGCCGCTAGCGTCGCTTCGCAGTTCTGGCAAAAATGCAAAGGGAAAAGTTGCAGGGAAGCTTGGGGATTGAATATATTGGGGCTTATCAGCTTCCACATGTAGGGCCAATGTAAGACTTGCTGGATCGTAAAAATTTTCTTGGATGGTAGAAAATGCAGTAGTGGTTACAGCGTGCCCTAATTTCGGAATGCACCCTGCCATCCCACCATCCCATATCAAGGACCCTCCACAACAAGGGAAACTTGCTGAGGGCGCGGGTGCTGCTCTGGAGGCCATGGTGTCAATGGCTGCGCGCCTGACCTGAGAGTCAGGGGCACACGCCGCGAAGTCTTCTCGCATCCCACGGTGACCACTGCAGTTGTGCCGGCTGTGCTCCGGCTATGCTGCGAGGCAGAAGTCTCCCGTATTCTCCCGTGCAGACTCCCAAAGCTTTAGCTTTTTGTCTTTCTCTCCCACGCAGCGTCGGCCATGCACGGAAGGCCCCCAGCCTTTTGCAGGCAGCCAGTGCACCCAGAGGTACCCGTGGTTGCAAACGGTGTAATCCCAACCCAATGCCTTGACCAGCTTCTTATACCCGCCGTGGTCAAAGGCCTCCTCCGCAACAGAGCAGGTTCATGTAAACTGCAACGTGCGGAAGGCTTTCCCAGCCAATTCTATTTTCCTCCTCGCTCGTGCCACTTGCTGCTTTCGTGTGAGACATTTCAGGACTTCAAAGGCTCTAAGGGCTTTGCATTTCATCTTACGGGCATATCCTCTAGTGGGTCAAATTCCAATCTCAGGGCCCAAGATGCCAGGAATCGTGAGACTGCAACACCTTAACACTCACAAACGCCGTCCACGGCGTCCGCACTTGCGTCGGGTGCAGTCCGTTGGGATCGGCGTCACATCCTGGACCCGCTTCCCACATGTCGTGTTTCCGCGATTCCACACATTCTGCGCTGCTCACCTCGATGCGCCCAATCTTCATGCCCGATCGCGCCAGCGCTCGAAGGGCGCTCTGTGCTCCCGGGCCGGGCCTCGGAAGACAGGAATGATCGATGGACACTTCCTTGCAGTCTACGCGTGACTTGGCCATGCGCGTCCGGGTCTTGGTGCCGCCTGTAGCTCGCAACTTGATATGCAGCGCGCCGATGCCTCAGAGTTGCAGCTCAGGAGCTCAGGCATGCGAGTGTAGCTCCACAATTCTTGCGTTGGAGCCTGGAAGTTCCTAGGTGCCGCTGAGTGGCCAAGCTCCTTGCAACGTGCGGCAACATCCTGAAACGATTGGCTGAGGTCATCCCAGTCTTGGACAGCTCATCCCTGGCCTGCGCTGCCAGCATGGCTGCATAGGGAGACGACTCATCCCGGTCGGCCTCACATCATGATCACGTCATGATTACGCATCATGGTGCCTGGACTCTGACCCGGACTCTGCATTTCACAAGAGACGAGCCTTCACCTTCATGCCACCGGTCACGCGCATAATCGTTTCACGCCCAGACAGGTCCGTGACGTGCACAAAGGTGTCATTGAAGGAGGCGTAAATGTGCGCAACTCCGAACACGATCTGAGGGGCCCAGGCCATGCTGATCGAACTTTTAACTCTCTCAACATCCAGCCTCGCCCTCTCTGACCTGAGGTCCGAGGGATACAGCTTCCACCTGCTGCTTCGCCTAGCTTCGGATACAATGAGCAAAGATAGCTAGAGTCTAAAGCAGGAACGAAAGCTGAACAGATCTGAACAGCTTACATCTTGAATTGACAGCGCGCCTTTGGTGGCATGGCGTGCGGTCTTCAGGATGAGGGCAGAAAACCGCCGATGAGCCAATGGCTGCTGGATGCTCCAGCATTCTTGCCCTTGCTAACATGGGTGAAATCAACTTGACAACTGGGATGAACAGCGCATCAGGTCCCCCAAATCACTCCAGTGTCACATCCAATCCTCTTGCCTCGCCCATGCGGAGCGGCTTGCAAGGCCCAGGCTCAGCGCCCACAAGGCTCACCTCGGCCTTCACATGAAGCCCTGCACTTGGTACACCCACTGCATGTCGGAAACTGCAAGGCATTACAGCTGAAGCCGAGCCTCTTCGAATGCTTGGAGCTTGTTGCTGTGGCTGGGTGATGTTAAGATTTGCAGGTCGCGTTGTGACTCGCCGCTGTTTCTTTATGGATGCCCGTCGCACAACTGCACACTGGTAGGAAAACAGACAAGTTGACACATATGCATTTTGCTTAACCTTACTGTGTAAAAAATGGCCACATAGCTTGAGCAGCTGGTGATGCAGAATATTCGAGCTTCGACAACAGGCATGCCTGCCACACTGACTCTTGCGGGAATCACGAAACTAGGGGACCCACCTTCTAGGGAACACATGTTGGATCCTTACGTTTCGATACATTTAGGGCATCGTGAAGCCCAATGATTAGCGATGATGCTTAATCTTTGGCTCAGGAATGCTTGCAATCTTGGAATATTTTCGCTTCTCGCAAACTTGAGCGGATGCAAACAGGATCCCACGGCACTGGACCCCGGCAGCCGGGCTTTTTTGGTCCACGCAATCGTCCCTTTCCTCGTCCAGCTTCGCTAGCAGCCTTTCGCAAAGTTTGGGCGCTTAGTCGTCAAAGTCCGGCCGCCGTGCAGCAGCTTGGCCACCTGGGTGAGGCCTTCTGAGATTCTGGAGGTGATCGTCTTCTGGTATCTTCGTGGCTCCTTTGCTTGTCATGGGAAGGTCATAGGAAGCTTGGGGTGGCCTCGTCTTCCAGCTCCAACTCCTGAGACTCGCCAGAGGCTTTCCTTTCACGTTCTGCCCTGGCCATAGCAGCCCGCTCTTTCTTCCTCTGTGCCTTTTTTTCTTGCCTTAGCTTCCTGTACCGGGCTTTCCAGAACTCTTTCTTGGCTTGGAGCTCTTCAGGCGTCCTTTTGATCGCTGAAATGCTCCGGTTCTCCCACTTTTCCTTCAGAAGCTGCTTGACCTGGTCTGAACTCTCAGCAGTCACCGCTGTCCGAATCCACTTCTGCACGTGCTTCTTGCTTCGCCGGCCCATCTCCAAGCTTCCTTTCGAGGTGTAGTGGATGTGGGGGCCCTCCATCCGAAGGGTCTTCTTGATCTGCGTGGCATAGGCATTCCGCTGATCATTTGGCTTTACTAGGTGATCGTCCTTGGTCAGGATAAGGAGCATGGGAAGCTTCCGTTGCTGCAGCTCTTCCACAAACCGCCTGCATGCTCTGGAGGGCCTCTTGTGGCTTTGCTGCAAGTGCATCATGAGACGGAGGTCATAAACGCCCTCCTCACACATCTTCAAATACCGCAGCACAAGATCCTCCCATGCGGCTTCCCACCTTTTCAGTACTCCCTGGTGAGCCATCTCTTCTGGATCCGGATATCCGGGCAGGTCCACCAGAACGAAGCGGTTGTTGACTACGTAGAAGTCTATACTTGTGGTTCGCCCCGCACGTGACGAGGCTTTGGCAGCATATGTCCATCGCACAATGTGGTTGATCAAGGATGATTTGCCACAGTTCGTCATGCCGTTCACGGCAATATGTGGCATCCGAAGCCACGCGCTCTCGGGAACCATGGCATCCTCACTGAGCTTTGGCACCTTCGGCAGGTCACTCGATGTCGGGGCTTTCCAAACCCTGTCCACAACATTGAACTTCGGTGAGATGACTTGCTCCCAAAGCTCATAAGGCACGTCTCCATCGTCTCCGTCATCCACGCGGTCCACATCCCTTCCCGCCTCAGATTCGGAAGGCGCTGTTCCTGACTTCCACCGAGGTGGAGCCTTGGGCGGAGCCTTGGGCGGAGCCTTGGGCGGCTCTTCCTTTTGTTTCTCCATGTCCTCGGCATAGTCCCCCATGCTGTCCTCATCCTCCTCAGCACTTGTTCCTCTGTAGCCACGCCCCCTAAAGCCTTCCTCCTCCGCCTGGTCCTGGGCCGCCTCTTCTGCCATCGCCTGCACCAACTCATCGCGGCCGTCGGCACCTGGGAAAGCCTCCTCGGCCCAGGGCGCCTCTTCTTGGCGCACGCGAGCAAAAGGGTTCAGGGTTTCCTCTTCGTCGTCCTCATCATCGTAGTAGCTGGGGGTCCGAGGGACAGCTACAGGCGTCTTGAGCCTAGCGTTGTTCTCCAGCAGCACATCCAAAGCTTCGTCCACAACCTGAGCGTCCAGCGAACGGCCATCCTTGGTCCGTTTGCCCTCTCTCGCAGCTTTGCGCAATCGCGCAGCCAGTTGCAGTGCGTGCTGCTGTGTTGGGGCCTTCTTTAAAAGCCTGTAGACCTCTGTCACATTCAGCGTCTCCGTCAGCGCACCTGAGGTACCTGCCCGAAGGCACACAAGATTACTCCGAGAGCGCCTCTTCCCGGCAGGAACTCGTGCCAAGAGAGCTAGCAGAGCTCCAGAAGCAGCCAAGGCCGAACCCGGCAGCTGCGGCAGGCCCGCCTCTACAACGCCTGCAGTGGCAGGAGGCCGTATGCAAGCCGACTTTTTGGCTGGTAGCTGCGGGTGAGCTGTCTGCTTCGAAAAGGACGGCGCAACCAGAGCCATGGCGAACTGGGACGTGAGAGAACACTACAGGAGTAACGTCGAGCCATTTGAACACGTGAAATGTCTCTGACAGTCTCTGACAGTCTCTGACCTCCTGCAATTCCTACGTTTCAGCCTTCAAATGGGCAGCTTGGGTCCAGGCTCCCCAATCCTCATCCTTCAAACGAGCCTGGACAGCTTCGTCCACCTGCGTGCACAGTTTAAAGAATTGCTTGACTTTGAGGTATCCCACTGCCTGCAGGTCGAGCTCCGTCCCACGGGTGGCCTCAGTGGATTGTCAAGAACAAACCTTGCCCCTCATGCATCAAAGGGAGGCGGCATGTCCAAACTTGCCCGTGATGTCGGCTAGCGTGCTCAAAGCCGCTATCCTTGTCCACTCCTCAGAGGTCATGCGAAAGCACGCCGTGGCCTGCAGAAACATAATTTGTCAGACGGTGCCGCTTTGCTGAGCTGACTGCACATGTGCTGGACACACGCTCCAATGTCGCTTTTACCTTGCAATTTCCGGATAACTGTGCAGCGATCAGCTCTAAGACTTCGCAAAGACCTGCCCATGCTGCAGTGCTGCAGCGCTGAGGCTGGCACGGTGCGCTCATCGCCAATGTCAGCAGCTTTGGACATGGCGCCCTGCGCAGCAAGCTGTACCTGCTCAGTCTCGTGGTGTGGACTCTTCACGCTAGCAAGTCATGCAGGGCGCTGCAACATCTTCGTCACCAAGAGCCTTAACAAGGACAACAAGACAGGCCGTGCGTATCAACTTTGCAGCCGAGCAGTCCTTGGCCAAAGCCACGATGGCTTCCGGGTCATTGGGATATCTGCCGAGATCCTTCACTGCCTGTCACTCCGACTGAGAATGTGTGATGGCGCAGTGAATCACCATCTCATGGAAGGCATGGGTATCCCATACCCCCCCTCACCTTGCGGCGCACGGGCACGTCGTGGTGCGTTGCATCTCTGAGAAGCTCCTCCTGAGCAGGAAGCAAACCCTGAGACTCTCAGGACCATTCAGGACCTCGCACCAACGGCCACCTGAGGCCCCTTCCTGGCCTTGGGCCGCAACAGCCGCCGTTTTTTTGGCTTCGCCTCGGTGACAATCGCTCGGCCTGGCAAGCAAGTGTTCAACCTCTTTCATGGCTCTCCATTTGCTTTCCCGCATGCTGTAGCTGCAGCACCTCGCTGGCACAGGAGCTGGTAAGGCAAGCGATGCCTTCCCAGATGTTTGTCTAAACCAAACGCAAGCATGCGAAACCATGCGAACTTTGACTTCGCATCTGGCCTTGGCAGCTTGCTGGACCAAGCCTCGGGAAGCTTTGGAACGGCTGCGAAACAAATGGGGCACGGTTTGGAGAGCCTGTACGGAGCAGGTGGCAGCCCGCCGCGCCTCAGAACAAGGAGTAATGGCAGTGCTCCAGCAAGACTTGCCTCTGAGATCCTCTGAATCTGGTACCAAAAGTCGGAGGGCATCAACTCTGCAGCCACGAGCCCACATGGGGAACCGCCGTGGGAAAGGGTGAGGCGAAGCCCCAGAAAACCGTGCACATGTCGTGCTGCGTGTCAATGTTTCTTTTGGAGTGAGGCATCCACATCTGTAAGGCTGCAAGTTTGCACCAAATGCCGACATGTATACTGTATACTTCCTGAAACTTTGACTATGCTGACTTTCTGACTAACTGCATCTGCTGGGCAACAGACCAGAAGCTCCAAACAAACTCATCCAACTTCATGCAACAATCGAGCAATCTAGCAGAAGGGCCGGAGACCCTCGGGGCTGGTTCCCTGGTCTGAGGCATCCAACAATTGGACTTGCAAGCTCAAGGGAGTTCGAAAGGACATGAAGCACACTGCGGTGCGGGGTCCCGGGAAGTGCAGGCCCCAACTATAGGCTTGAGGGTTCCTAGACTTGAGGCGGTGCATAATCCGGCATTTCCAAACACAGGCGCCAGCAGGTTCGAGTTGTGACCTTGGGTATCCACTTTGCAGCTGCACATGAATGCGTCTTGAGCATGGCTTTGTGTTCCCTGCAATGGGCATACAAAGGTCCTGATCCTCGAGGGAGCCTGGAGGGAGTATGAAGACGGAGCAAGAAAAGCAAGATCCCAAAGGCCACGCAAATCGGGAGACCCCATACAATACCATACATGACAGGATGAAGTTTGTCAACGTAGCTCTATTAATGTCCTGGTCTACTGAAAACCTGCTGCCGCCTGACTGACGTGCATCAGCGCATGAGACAAAACTGCCCAGGCGTAGTACAAACTTGATAAGAATCTGGAGATGTCTGGAGCTTTGTACTAGCGGGACTACGTGAACACGTGGAGCCTGCTTGGACCAGGAATCGTGAAACAGCACAACACTGTCGCATGCTTGGCTGCTGCACAATGGTTTTTCACCCGACGCCTTCCCCCAAATCAGAATAAAGTCTTCAATCTTGAACTTGAAATTGCCAGTCAAATGGCTACGGTCAAACGAGCTCACAGTCTGCGACTGGTGGCTGGCCGAAACCCTGCGTACCGCAGCGGGATTCGGAAAGAGCGCCCGGAACTTGTTGCCAGGAGCGGAGCAAATTGCCAGGTGCTGGCGGCTGGATAGCGGATAGAGATCATGCCCAATCCGAATGTCTCACTCTAGGTTCAGCTCTATTCAAAAAGATCGAAAGACATGTCTTCTTTCAGCTGCTTTGCCTCTCCTAATGGTTGGGACTAGCGCTGCTGACCCACGAGGTCGAAACTTATCCTCATCAGCACGGAAGGCACCGCTGGAACGGAAAACCAGGGATCTGCGAACGTGGCCCGCGAATGTGTGAAGCCTGCTCGACTAACAACTGTTACTGTCATGCCAGTCTACGAAGTCTACGATGTGCGAGTTAATGAAGACTCACCCACGGTTCCAGATATCGAATTAAGTGGTTCTACTCTTCATCGGCGCAGGAGCTGCTCCCCTGGTGGCACACGAGAATCCAATCCAGAATGCCCAACTCTGACTCCAAGTCATCTTGCTGTCTTGCCTCGTAAACGTCGCGCTACCTATCGCAAAGGGTCTCAATTGATCACGTGGCGCATGCTCCACAGCATTCAGCACAAGGTTGCCACGTGATGGAAAGCTCTGAGCGCAACGCATCGATTGCTGCCTCAATTCGGGATTGCAGCAACCTCACTATCACATCAGCACAGCTTGACACCGCTAGGCTAGCAAACTCTGCTGACACGCCCGAGGAGATCACAGCTTCATGTCTTCGCCTTCTGCAGGAGCCTCAAGCGACACCAACTCCAATATGCCATCGGGCTTCCGCTTGAACATGCAACATGGTGTAGAACTTGCATAATCGCACAAAGTGGCACCTCCGAACATCTTGCGCGGGCTTTACAAGTCTCGCTGAATTATTTTCTTACCCAGCGCTGGCACTGTAAACCCAGCTAACATCCCCAGCAGCAGAACCGATCCATGAAAGCCCAGGGTTTGCACACCACCCGCCACCCGGCCCGGAACCTGTTCCAGAACCAACCCTTCCTGGTAGCTGTGCCCTCAGGAGTTTCGAAGCCGCCGAGTGGCGCATTCCGCAACCGCGGGATTTCTTGAGCCAAAACGAGGCTTGGCACGGCAGGGCTCAAAAAAAGCGTTCAGAAAGGTTTTGCGGGGGCGGGGGGTTCCCGCTTCCGGCAAGGGTTGGGGATGGTTGGGGGGGGTTGCAGGGCTCCGGGTCCTCCGTTTCAAAAACTGAAAACACTGATAGCTGTCACAGCAGCGAGCGCTTAAGGGTTTCAGCCACAACTGGGCACGGGTTCCAGGTCAGGTTCCGGTGGGCTCAGATTATGAATGAAAGCCGCAAACATCAATCCTGACAGTCACTGCTAGCAAAACTGCTGCTTCTTAGCCACGCGCTGAATATGTTCGGCGCGGCAAATAATTTGTGACACGGGCGCGCAAGGCTTTCAGACTACTCTGGAGGCTGATGATTTGTGGCGGGCGGCGCTTGCCGGGTGGCCTCGGGCACATACTCAGCATGATATCGCTGAATTGTACAAGCGTCTGCTCGACAGGATGAATGGTGATGTGTGGCAGATGGGAACATACAGCACGCTGGGGACTTGGGCAGATTGCTACTTGTTCTGCACATCGATCTAAGAATAGCGCTAAACTTGGGCACGACAGGATGGGGTAGACTTTAGTTTACACGAGGTCTTGTTCTACAAGTACGCCCTTTCTCGCATCGGAAAGACAGAATCTGAATTAAAAAACTGCGGAACACAGGTGGTTTGCATCCAGGCGAAGGCAATGCGGATCCATTGTTCCCAGTATACGTCTAGATGCAAGGTATGACGCGGAAGCGAGCGTGGATGCGTAGTTTCGGTTGTTTCTTGTCAATGCGGCTAGTGAGCTTGTCTGTTCAGCGCTTCGAAGTCAAAACATGAGCGGAACCTGCGAAGCCAAAGGAATGGCCCTCCCCCTCCCGCAAATAGAAACCCCAAGGCTTATGGTCATAATTAAATGTCATGGAAACGCATGGTTTACAAGCACTTGCCCCTGGCTACCACAACTGTCCGAGAAGACTCACGCGCCAAAAACTCCAGTGAAGATGAGCGCCTGACCCCGTTCTGCATCTCTTCAGGGTTGCGCGAACTGGCAGGTAGGCAGGGGCTAACGACATTGACGTGCGTTGCCGGATGAGGCCGTCCGTGCTCCGAGCGTCTGCCCGTTCGAGTCGAACATCGCAGACACTTCGCGACTGGCCTCTCAAGAAGAATTCGGAGGAGTCCCTCTCGGACAGAGGTACAAAAGGGTCTGTTGCAACAGAAGACTTGGATCAAGCGGCAATGCTAAGTGAAAACACCGCCTGGTGGTCCTCTTGGGATGCCTGGTCCGCCTGCAGGACATCACAAGCGCTCACAAAAACAACAAAAACAACACCATGCGCACCCTGCCTCTGCGTTGGAGACGTGAGTGCTTGTCTCCCTGCGTTGGCTGCAAAACATTGCAGCGTGCGCAGTGTCTTGGCGCGTTGGCAGGAAAGGCCCTCACCCAAAGCCTTCGCTCGCCTGCGGACAGGGTTGGAGAATCGATCAGGTTGCGCTTCCGCTTCTGTTTCAATTTACTAAAAGGCCTCGCAGTGCATGCTTGGGCTGTGAAGCTCAACTTTCGGGCTGCAGGTCCCCTGAACCGCAACACAATGTTTTGCACCTTCTTCGATCACATAGTCAGCGAAAAACACACATACGCGATGCACATGGAGCAGAGTGCCCCCGCAGACGGGCAAAGCAGGCTCGGCAATGGGCCAGTAGAAGCAGACCTCATGTCGTACATGACAAAAAATCAACACTCAACACTATCTTAACTCCGAGGAATTGAGGCCGACCGAAGTGAACGAAGTACTCTTGAAGCTGCCCTTCTCTCGGCTTCGGCCGTTCATATTAATGGATATTTCTTATGTGGTCTGTCAATGGACGTCTGACGGCGATGCGCCTGGCTTGGTCTTAGTCCCTAATCCGCTGAGGCTGGCGGTCTGGGGCGCTTAGATGGCTCGGAGACTAGGATTGAGGAAGTTAACCCCCCCCTCCAGCACTCACGATTCGATCCGCCTTGGCGTGGGTGCCGAAAAGTTGGGTTTCAGTTGAGGGAGAGGTCGGGGGAAGTGGTGCGGCCGAGAAAGGTGAGACAAAAAATGCTTGTAGCAGTGAACCCGGCCAAATGATCATTAGTCGTACTTGCATTCCTTGCCACGTTCATGAACAGGGGGGGATTAGTGGGTCTGCAGCACTCCTCTACCCTTGCCGAGGCGGTTCCGCACTAGCAGTTACATTAATGGTCTTATTTGTTTCGCCTGCTTTGGGATTTGGCTGGTAACCATCTGTTCCGCCATCCGTTCCCAGTTCGGAAGGTCAAGACCCATTTTGATAATGGCTCACGGCCGGCACAGGACACATTCTGATTACATTCTTCAATAACTTGGCACCCATGCAGCTGCAAAGGCTACAACATGTTCGGCCCTTTGCTCAGCCTGCACTTTTCTATGCCTCAGGCAGCAGCAACGCGAGGTGTTCTCAGCGCGGACATGCATTGCCCTCGCCGAGCGTATTCGAAAGCTCAGCCTTCCCAATCTTCCCCAGCAGATGCACACGGCAATCAGTCCCCAAGTGTTCTCCATTTCATTGGCAGGCGACACCACATATCCCCTTCCAGCTCAGAGCATTTCTTCACCACTACCGGTGTGACCGGTTGTGGATAAAGATTTTGTTGCCGTCATCCGCTTGTGTAAGACGCTTACGTTGCTCGAGAATGCACCTGCACGTCGCAGGTCCCCTGCATACTCCAGAATTGGGGGGTTTCCCCAAATTACCACATTACCATTTTGGGGGTCACCATAATAAGGATTATAGTATTTTGGGTCTGCATGGGGGTCCTCTTACTTTAGGAAACTACCAATTAACTTCAGATGTCAAGATCCGCATGCTCCGCCGTGTCTGGCGGTGCATGCCTGCGGGTCCTAATGCAATAACCTTCTTACGTCAAAGCCCTTCCACGGGTAGATTTGGGAATGTCGCGCCAGAGACTGCTTCTGAAGCGAAAGAGATCAAACAGTTGTAGGATCAGAGATCCTTTCTCCTGGTGACCCTAAGCGGTCAAAACATAGAAAGCCAACATCCCAGAAATGTCCAGCGCGGCAAGAGACGATCTGAATACTTCAGCATGCGTCTTCTCATTTCAGTCAAGCCGACTGGGCACAAGCTTGCAGTCAACAACCTGAGCCAGATTCATAAGCAAGAGCTACAGTGCCGGTACCGTGCAACACGCCAGGTTATGAGAGGGGTGTTCGCACAGTGGGGCCTTTCCCTGCCTCCACAGCATCAAAGTCCTTGCCAACTGTGCTGGTGTGGGACCGTTGGCACTTTCACATTTTTCTGCACAGCCCTGCTCGGACTGCCGACACACGCTACTGTAAACCTTTCCGTCTGAGTGCAAGTACCGTAACTTGCTTACCCAACTCGCACCATCGTCCAAACAGAGATAGCAGCAGCTGCAACGACATATTAACTCCACTGGGGAGCGCTCGGCCAACGAAGCTCTATTCCAACACTCCTTTCAACAATGCAGCAAATAGATTCATGCAAGGAATCTTTCTCCTCAGGCACTGGCTGGACATTTAATCCGATGTCCTTCAGCGCGCATGATGGTGAACAGAGAAATAAGAAATGCCATGGAGGACCTAGCCTTTAACATCTGCAATGATGAGGCCATCGTGGGCACAACTTGCGCTGGACGAAGCCGGTGCTAGAGAGTTTGAACCAAAGGTCGTCGTTTGGCGGCACACTGGAATCAATGATGAAAGCGGAAATTGCGCACGGAAATGCTTCAATCAACGAAAAGAGCAATCAACTTTTATTTGGCTATGTTTCAAGAATGATGCGCAGGTGAAACGTCGTCCGGCTTTTGGGCAATTCCAAGCTTAAGCCAGCACTGTACTGGCAACACGCATAATGGAAAAATGGAAACTACTGTGATGCATGTTGCCTCGAATGCAGTCCTCCTTCTCGAGGCCTACAGGAAGCATCCGAGACGCCTGATGTCAAAGCACCTCTTTCCATAAGACTCTGTCACAAGACGTAGTAGGTGGTTTGTTTCGGCGCTGCTTCGGCTAGATGATCTCAGGCTACTGTATGAGGCTATGCGTTATGTATACTTCTGCTGACTTTCTGCCGCACTCCGCCTTGGCTACAGGAAAACCTGAAACTGCTTGACTTCCCTGGTGATGACCAAGCCTTTATTCAACGAAGCAGCCAACAGAAGGCCAGCAGGTTTGGAAAGCATGGAAGCCTGAGTTTCGGCCTCACTTGTCATCCTCTATGAGAAAACTGCCTCGGGAAGACACTGACACAGTCATGGCGTTGAGACAATAGTCACGTGGGTTCCCACGTGCAGCTAAGAAGCATGTGGCCTGAGATTGACGGTCTTTGTGTCGCCGCGCCGGAACATCAAGAAGCAGGCAAGACTGGTGTTCAGCCTTTTCAGCGTGTCCACTGGTGGCCTTTGCAGAACTCAAGCGCATCCACTTTGTGTCAGGGCCACCACAAACACTACAACTAACAACTTGTCGCTGGATAGGTAAGCCACGCCTGGCCACACTTCTGGAGACTTGCGCTTGTAGTACCTAAAATCATGTCAGTCACAATGCGATGTGTTGGTGGATTTGGGACGGCCACCAAGACGAAAGGACCAACAAAAGCCAGGCGAGAAAGAAGCATAGCAAAGGCAGACAGGCAAGCAACGTCAATAAGCGCTAAGGTAGAGATTCGCAGAGTACACAGCAGCTTTGACGACCGGTACAAGGTGAGGGACCGCAGCCACAAGTCAAGCAGGAGCGCCCGATGAAGCGTGAGCCTGCGCATAAAGATATGGTGAGAGCGATATAAATAAACCCCGTGAAAAATCTAGAGCCTCCAAAATCTTCATCCGAGGGCCTGAAAGTTCTGGAGGCGGAGACCCCTGGAAGGAACCTGGAGGCCCCTGTAGACCCCTAGAAGGACCTGAAAAGACCTTCCTGGCACCTTTAGACTCAAGATGCCCAAAGCCCGATGGAAAGGCGGTCAGACTCATGATCCCGAGCTCCCTGATTCAAATCCCGGTCCCTCCAAGATCTCCAGGAACCCTGCCAGGGCATGAAGGCATGCCCGGGCCTCCAGCCCACAACCTAAAGGTAAGGTGTAGGGCTTCCAATGTCTCTAGGAGGCTCCTACAGATAGGCGGACTTGGCCAAAATTGGAGTCGCAAAACAAATGTTTTAGGGGTGCAGGACGTCCTATGGATAAACACTGGGGTCGAGGTCCCCATTTTTTGGGGTGTAGGGCTTGAGGCTTGTAGGGTTAACAAGCAAGGCCCGCAAAATTGGTGGATCAGGTTGTTCAACTAATTGTGGCTCAGGCTGGAGTTGCTAATTTCACTATTTTCCGGGTGACCTCGGGTGACCTTGCTATAAATTGCCCTGCTGCAAAACTGCAGCAAACAGCTATAGGTGTCAAACGTGTGACTGAGATGTTTGGACCACCTGCGCACTTGAGAACATGTATTGATGATGTGTGAATTTGTTCTTGGCTTCACGGCGTTCGATGTCGCGTAGGTACTAAGTATTGGCGAACATGTTTCGTGTGCGCGTGGCTCAAACACCGCGAACGCAACGGATGTTGAGTTTCTGATTCCCAAGAACATGTGAATGGAGGATGTGGGATTGCAAGGCTTTATTTGCTCAATAGAGTCAATGGCAAACCCATCCCGAGAACGGCACGTAGCAATGAAGACGTCTTCTGTTGATGGGCGCGTTACCGGCTTGCCGAGGGCCTCCACCAAATCGGCCAACAGCAAGACTTGGCCTGAGCATGAGGAACATGAAGCATGCAAGGAGCTGGAATTGCTGGCATACAAGGAGCTGACCCACATCCAGCGAAGTAGTCTTCCTCGTCGAGCAGTCCGCCCCCTCCATGAGGGCGGACAGCTCACAGGGTGTCTCCGGGTGCATGGCCTCCAACAAAGCCCATTGCCAAAGATAAGTGTGATGAGCAGCGGCCTTGAAGAGGTTCAGCACTTCGCGGCACAAAGCGTTGATCTGCCCTAAGAAACTGAAACAAAGGATGCGTTCCACCAGCAATCATGCGCAGCGTCTGCGTCTGAGGTCCCTGCCGATCTCTACATGTGCCGTCATGAAAATTGTACGACTCATATCGATGTTCAATGGGAGCATCCAAAATTCCCTATCAGACTAGCTCTGTTCATGCTAGTCTTCATGAGATATCATGAAGATTAGGCGTTTTGCTATGCTTGTGTGCAGCTGACTGTTGTTTAAAATCATGTGATACTGCGGCATACGTGCAAGCAGGATTTTGTCTACAACAGCATTGCCTCATCATTCTCACACGTTTTCCCTGCGGAAGCTGGCAGGAACATTTGTTGTTGTAATTCCAAACTCAATCTTGTAACAATGCAGCCTACCTGTGCTCAAGGCCCATAGCACCATAGTGCTGATGGCTTCCGGGGAGGCTCAAGTCACCAAGAAGCTAGCTACCAGGATGCTTCATTCTTCTCAAGGGCGTGGTGACCTATCCTTGGGGGGCCTATTAGGATGACGGAAAAGAACATGGAAACTACTACATTGCATATTGGGATAGCGAAAACAAAATGGAAACTTCTGTGACGCATGTTGCCTCGAATGCGGTCCTGCTTCTCGAGGCCTACAGGAAGCATCCAAGACGCCTAATGTCAAAGCACCTCTTTCCACATGACTCTGTCACAAGACGTACTAGGTGGCTTGTTTCGGCGCTGCTTCGGCTAGATGATCTCAGGCTATGCGGCTATGCGTTATGTACACTTCTGCCGACTTTCTGATGCACTCCGCCTTGGCTACAGGAAAACCTGAAAATGTTTGACTTCCCTGGTGATGACCAAACCTTTATTCAACGAAGCAGCCAACAGAAAGCCAGCAGGTTTGGAAAGCATGGAAGCCTGAGTTTCGGCCTCACTTGCCATCCTCTATGAGAAAACTGCCTTGGGAAGACACTGACACAGTCATGGCGTTGAGACAATAGTCACGCAGGTTCTCACATGCAGCTAAGAGGCATGTGGCCTGAGATTGACGGTCTTTGTATCACCGCGCCGGAACATCAAGAAACAGGCATGGTGACCTTCGGAGTCGATGATGTCCTGGATGTCCTTCTGCTTGCAGCGCACGGCTGCATCATCCAAGACGTGCCAGCTTCCACCGCTTACGCCTGCGTTTCCGCCTGCGTTTCCGCCTGCGCTTCCGCTGCTTTCTGGCCTGTCCTCCTCCTCCAAGTGCAGAGCGAAAGCCTTGTAGGCCCCACTCTCTGGGATCTCACCATAATGGCATATGGCACTGCGCAGGTGGTAGGCCACCGAGCGCAGGGTGTAGCCTGTAGCTTCTTCGAGCTCCATATGCAAACCCAGGCGGCCTGCAGCACTCAGGAAATACTCCAGAAAGCAGCTGAGCCAACTCAGCTAATAGCTAAAGCCTAAGAGATCCCAAGGGTCAAAACTCCAGCTGTTTCGTTTTGTACTGAGGCCCCCACACTTGCGGCTCACGCGGTCTGGCAAGCCATCGCTGCCAGTCCGGAAGCGCTGCAGATGAATGAGCAGGAAGGGCGGCAGCCGCAAGAACCGGGCCTCGTGGCGTCGAAGGACCCTTGGCTCCATGAGCTTTGCTAGATCCTTGTGGTTTAGGGTTTGAAGTTCTTTCTATTCCCCTCATCCCGAATGTTGGGAGATTGCGCGGATACTAAAATGCAAAACCCAAGGAGCTGCTCCACCGCCGCCTCCACAGTTATCGGGGTCTTCGGATCCCCTGGGTCCGCAAGGTCCAAGTGCAGCAGCAGGAAGGGCGCGACATCGGTGTGTGCGTGGCCATCTCCCAAACTGCTGACACGGCTCCTCCGGGAGTTGGTACGGACCAGCCCCCCGAAGATCCTCATCATTGGGGAATCCTCATGCTGGTAGGGCACAGCAGACAGCGTGGGCCACTTGCACTCATCGTGCAGCTCCTTGCAGTGCAAATCTCTTCATCCAGTATCTACACCGTCCTGCCAAAATCTACCACGAAATGCTTTTTGCTCGCCAAGCTTCCCCCAGGAAGAAACGTAGAAAGCAGGAGAACATGTCAGCAGGACCAGCCACCAGGTTTGGAAAGACGGGTGCCTCCTGCACTGACTTGCCTCTCTCGAAGCGTCTCAGCAGTGGCTCCGCAAACAATGTTGCGTCGATGGCCACCAAACGATTGCTCAGAGGCATTGCAGCAACTGATTCGATCGGTCTGCGCGCCGGGTTCCAGCTTATGGAATCAGCTTCCTGCTGGACAAGTTGCTTGACTGCTCAAAAACAGGCAGCTGAGCACTGATTGGGGATTGTAGGAGTTCCGTGTATTATGAGGACTCCTGTCCCAACCCCCAATCATGCCCTCTCCCCTAGAAATGGGTCCTCGGCATAGGTCTGCCTGGATCCGTCGCTGCCGTAAAACTCCCAGGCGAGCTGCATGAGGCAGTTGTAGGCTGGGCGCGGCTGCCGATTCTGCCAGGATACTTGTGCCAGCAAATGGGCCAGCGGCGAGCACGCCAGCAGCGCCTGCAGGGTTTCTAAAAGAAGTTTGGGATTCTTTGCGATGACTATATTATACTACACTTATAGTATATATTATACTATATTAGACTATACTCTGCTATAATATACTATATTATATTCTACTATCTTCTACTATATTCTTTTACAGTATTTTGCTATATTATGAGTCCACGTTGTGCCTGAACCCAAGCGTTGAAGAAGGGGATCGCATGGCAGGGAAGCAGCCCGCGGAGCCGCACGGGTAGAAGCTCCGAGCTGAGGTCCAGGCAGAGCGACCTCTCCCCCTTAAGTAGATAGAATTTAGGGTTTAGGGTTTAGGGTTGTAAATAGAATATGGGGTACTATGTTAGGGGTTATATAAAGGATAATGGAACAGAAAATCTTATAATGGGGTATATTTTGGGGAAATATAAGGATAATGGAAAAGAAAATGCAAACTACTATTTAATAGGGCTTAGGGTTTGTAGGACATTTTTCGCACTCCGGGTCCTCCAAATTTACTCTCCAAAATCTGGGCTCCAACTGACGGACCCTTACAAAACGATAACCCTCATGAATCCTCATGATAAGTGCACCCGAAATCGATCCCGAATTGTTTCAAACATGTTGAGAACCTCGCGCCTCGGCTCGCTGGCCCGGCGCGGGGCCACCCGCTCTGCATGCTTCAGCAGCAGCTCCAGCAAGTCGGGCGCCTCAGGTGTCACCACAATTTTTATAGTCGATACTCCTGGGCGATATAAGGTAGGATTTGGGCCTTTGTTTGTGGTTTGCGATTCTTCTGCAGCTTCCACAACGGCTATCTATGGGGCGATATTTTTGGAGATATTGCTGCAGGCTGGGCTCCTCTCCACCGTCCGAACTGTCCCCGCTGGACCACTCGCTGTCATCCTCCCGCTCCTCGCCCCGTGCCTTTCCAAGACGCAGTACTGACAGTCGTGTCTATAATGAACACGCATCAATGTCTACAATGAACTTGGCAATAGTTAGAAACATGAAGCCCTGTCTACGATGATGCCAGGAGTAACATGCAACAGGCCGAACAGGTGGCCTCGCGCAGGGACATCAGCCGCCGCATGAGGCCGCTCTGGGTGGCTGCCCCAGCGAAGAAAGCTGCACCACCCATGGTGGATGGAGAAGAGTAGCCTGATCGCCTCTGGTTGGGGGAAGCAACTCCAGAGGGGAAACCTGGGATGGGAGAGCAGTAGCCACTGAAGGATGTTGGAGACCTTGCCGGAGAGTGGTGGCTGACTGGCGTATGGATGTTGGGTGTCCTTGAGATGGCAAAGGGGCTGGTGTGCCACATGAAGCCAAGGCTTGGAGGTCCATCCGCAGATGCCTTGCTGCTCCGCCTGCGCAGTGGGGCACGCAGGACCAGCGGGGCCACGGCATCTTGCCAAGCATTCACCGCTGATGCCGGCACCTCCTCAAACGCCTCCTGCGCTGCGCTGGAGGATGGCACTTGCAGCGACTGCAGCGATGCTGGCTCGCTCACGTTGCGCAGCGCGGAGTCTATGCTGGCAGCACAGGGCAAGCTGGGTCTGTAGATGCCGTGGTAACCCTGGCACTCCTCCCACACTTGGGGAATGTGAGCTTGAGAGTGCGCAGATCGCGGTGAGTTGGATCGGGTGATGTCCCCAGGCGTTGAAGGTGCCAACACAAATCGCAGGTTCTCGCCATCGAAGAAACTGTCGCAGGAAGATGCCCGGCTCAGGGCGCCTCGTGGCATCGAAACAGCTGCCTCCTGGCTGGGTCCAGGCTGGGGTGCAGGCTGGTTGCTTGGGTTGCTGGGCATGGGACCGGACAGGCGCTGCACTGAATTCAGGCGCCTTTCGGCGCTACGCACGTCATCCACCAGCCCCAGCGCACGAGCCTCAGCCAGCAGTGCCAGAACCTGGTCCATGGCGCGGCCCAGCGACCGTTTCACAACATTGGCTGCGGACTCCTCGCCATCATGGCCCTGAGCATGGCCCTGAGAATCGCCCCGTGCACGGAAGATCGGGGGACACTGCTGCTCTGCCTCACCGTGGGTGAAGGCGCAGAGGTTCCGCAAGGGGCAGCTCTCACGGGAATCGCCACCAAAGGGGCAAGGCTCAGCCCGGGCTAGTTGCACGCCATTGGAGTGCTGGTGCCGACACTTCGCCCCCTCGAAACAGATTCCCATCTTTGCCATCTGTGGACATCGCTCTGCACTGCGCGCCCCAGACAGCCCGGACGAATGTGTGGACGGCGTGGCGCTGCGGCCGCGTGACTCGCAGGCGACAGGCTCGCCCTCCCCTCAGGCAATACTACACAAATCACACCGCAGCATCCAGCAAACAGCATCAAACATAAGACACAGATATGAGAACAGCTGAGAGGCGGCTTTCGTTTGGAGCTTCCATGGAGACCTTCCGCACAAACGTCTTCCATTGCGTCGTCGGCACGCTCCAGGAAGCACCAGCTGGCTCCTCGAAACACAGACGCTCACGACAGCCCAGCATGAAAATGCCGTTGATCCTCAGAGAGTCTTCCTGTCCTAGGACGTTCGAAGCAGCTTCAACTTGCAGGCCAAGAGTCGGGTGACGGTGAATGCGTGCCAGTGGCCTCGGAGGTCTCCTGACAAGAGTAGACATCAAGAGACTGGGCTGCTGTAAGGAAGCTTAATTCAAGTTGCCATACTGGGGATACCATATCCATTACTACGTATACCCATTATGGTTACTTAGTTTACGTTCCATAACAGCAACCCAGGAGAAGAAAGGCACAATACACACGAAGCCAAAACGAGACCTGGTCAGTGTATGCAAAGCCCCTGTGCTTGGGGCTGCCAGAAGAAGACGATAGCATCTGCGACTTCGGACTGCCGAAGGAGGTTGTGAACTTTGCAGGCCTGCGCCAATTTCTGGCATTTGGTGAGCTGGGAATGAAGGAATGAAAAAGAAAATGGAAACTAGGGATCCATTCCTTCTTTCCTAGCTAACCAGAGGCCAGTTAGCGCTGCCCCCCACCCTACTGCAGGAACCTGTTGAAAGCATAGCCATCCTTCAATAAAAGGAGAATCATGGAAATTGAGCCACTGCATTGCCATCCTTTTGTCTTTTGCATGACGATTTGGACAAGTGCTGGTTCTTGTGGCGAAAAGGTGCGAGCAATGAATTGTAATCGATTTGAACGGGTCTAGTCAGAGGCCATCATGACTTCACCAGATCCAATCCAAATGCCCCCAAAAAAGGTCAAGTAGAACCCTTGTCTTAGCCAAGTACAGAATTCTGCTACGCCAAGCCTGATGACGCTGTTGATGCTTGATGGACTGCAACCTGCACAGAGCTGAAGAGAATGTGCTCTACAAGAGTCGTATGGCATTACGTGTTGGAGTATACTGTATCAATCATATTGTGTGACTATGTTGCGAGTCTACTGTACTTGTATAATTTATGCACTACAAAATATACAGCAAGCATGACTGTATCCTGCCTGGGGATTGGCTCAGCTGCTCGTTTTGATCGTTCTGCGCGGAGGACTCGGCAGCTGCAGACGATTCTGGCGGCAAATTGTCAGGATCTGCCATTCGAACGACCTGGATCGCCACACAATTGGTGTTAACTTGCACTTACAAAGACATAGCCTAAACCCCAAAACCCTAAACCCTAAATCATAATTTTCATTTTCTTTTCCATTATCCCAATATAATCCCAATAACACACTTGCCCAAAATGATCCATCCAGGCCTTAGTCTGGCCTTCGTCAGAGTCTGTCTCGTCGGCCCACCTCTTTCGTCGTGCCCGGAGGATGCCCCAAAGCTGGAGACCTTCCTCGTGGGCTTCTTCCACACGTTCGTTTGGAGCTTCCGAGTCATCTTCAGCGCCTCCATGCTCTGGCTCCACCTCCTCTGCCTCTGCCTTGTCGGCCTCTTCTGATGGCTCCGGCTGGCTTGGTTCAAGCTCCCATGCAAGGACAGGGGGGCCTCCCTCCTGCTCATTGAGTGAAGTCCACGAGGCTGCTAGCGGGACGCCAGCTGGCCCAATTTGCATGCACTTCACATCCAAGAATCGAGGCACCCCAAAAAAGTCAAGTGCTGCAAGGAAGTCCAGGGGGATCGGACCAAAGGGCCGCGGCACAAAATCAGAGCCAGGAGCCAAGCTTGTCCAAAGACGCGCTTGCGCGCCAGCAGGCGTCCCATGCAGCAGGCAGATTTCCCTGGGCCTGTGACGCCCAAGCTTACCCTTGCATACCCCACCAGACTCGGGATCAGCAGCAAAGCCTGAGCCAGCGCTCTGGACTTGATGATCACAATTTCACACAGCAGAATCTCAACTGAGAAGTCTGAGAACCGCGCTCCAGGCCACACGACGGGCAGTTGACTCTGCCCCCAAGCCTGGCCGGTGGAGGTGGAAGACCACCACACTAAGAGGCTCCATGTTGGGCTCCGTGACCTCCCTGCACTCCCTGAGCTCCGGCGCAACCGCGTCACCATTCGATCCCTGCGCCTCCTGCCCCGCTGGGGCCTGGGTCAGCGCTTCCGGAAGCGCATCCGCCACGTGGTATCTGCAAGGCTTCGCGGCCAGAAAGTCCAACTGGAGATTTGGGGATGACTCCTTGAGAGCTTTGGCAAAGGCGCTCCATACGAGTTGGATGCCCTTCTGCTGCTTCCCTCTTGTCTCTGTCTGCAGGAAGAGACACCCCAGCCTCGGTTGACATGCAGCTGGCCTTAACTTTCAGGACAAATGACAAAGTCACAAACTGTGCATGAAGTTGTTTGAGAAGGAAGTTCCCTTCTTAACCACACACTAATCGTCTTGCTACCAGCAAATAGCGTACCCCACTCAGCATTGCCCAAGATGGTCCGTTTTCCCGTGGCCACATTGGAATCGAGACGAGGCTCATCCGTTGCTCCTCCTTCGCGTTGTCGGACAAGATGTCCGCAGGTACCATCTGTGGCAGATCTGTGGCTGGCACGTGGCCGCAAGCTGCCTGAGACAGGTCTTCAAGCCTAGAGTCCTTCTTTGCTCATCTTGCAGACGTTTGCAGCTGGGCTGCAACTTCCAAATCCACAGCTGCACCGAAGTGGATTTGGCACCTCGTGCAGGGCAAGGGCTGAACACAAACACGAGCAGAGCAGGGGTGAAAATCCTCTCAGGCCGACGCTTCAGCGGGCAGTCCATGCGCAGCGGTAGAAGCCAAAAACCAGAAGGGCTTGCCTCCTGCCCAGGCCCAGTGCCCAGCGAAGCTGCCAAGGGAGGCGCCTCCACGGTGCCCGCAGTGCTCACAGTGCCCAGAGCAATGCGCTTGCGCAGCCAGGGAAGGTGCTGCAGCAGCGTGTCCCCAGGCGAAATGAGGAGGACACCCAGTACGTAGTGGCTCAATGTATCTCTGCAGAAGTATCTGCAAAGTATAGGCATCTGACATGGCAGCTCCCCTTCCGCCTCTCCGTTCTTGTTGGCGGCATGCCACTCCAACATGGATGCAGTGGTGGCTGGGTCAGCATCGTTCGACTGAAACATGAGTAGCACGGTGGGCACAACGGAAAGGCCGTGTACTACCGCAAGCGGAAGCAAGGTCGAGAGCGGACTCTGAACGGGGACCAGCCAAGAGCCTCCTTGCGAAGAATCCGGGATCTGAAACAACAACTGCCGCTCAGTAGGAATACGAAGTACCTGGTGCACCTGCTGCTTCAGGTCTTCTACAGTGGCAGCCATGGAAAGCTTCAGCTCAGCAGAGCTGGGAATTTCAAACCCTCCAGCCAAGCAACCTCGGGTCTTCTGCAGCATCTTCTCCGTGACAATGCGGACACTTAGATTCTCGGGAGTCCGCCAGTTAGCCGGCATCGCTGGCATCGTTGGCGTAGCCAGCCCGGGGCTTCTTTGCAGGAAGCCCCGAGGGGCCTGGGTACTGTAAACAGCAAGCTGCGGAGATAAGTCTCGCGTGCAGAGCCAGGCATCTGGCGCGGATCCAGCAAGCTGCCAGCGCTGGATCTCATGTATATGGCCGTTACCATCCACTAGCCATTCTTTGGCACCGTGGAGGAACGTTATGGTCCGGCGTCTTGGGATGACTTCAAATGCTGAACACTTTGATTCAGTCTCGTTGGAAGCTGCGGCAACGGCCTCAGCTTCCCGCCGGGTTGCATGGCAAACAAGGGCAACAAGATGCCAGGTCTGGCCCTCGTCCTGCTTGAAAGAATAGGGGAATGCAAGGATCTCATCCGGAAGCAATCGTTTCAGGAAACGAAGAGTTGCCAGAGGCCCCAAAGGTTTCAACTGGCCTGCCTTGGATGGCAGAGCCTCAGCCTTCGACGCTTTGGTCTTAGCTTTTTTTGTCTTCGGGCTAGGGCGGCTAGGATGAAGCCGGGACCGCCAGGCTTCGTAGGCACGGAAGATCTCAGGAACGGTCCCCCAGCCCATGTCATGTACATGTAGCAAGTCACCAATGGCCTTCGGCCGCCACGGTGCCCACGGCTCACCTGGTTGAGACAGCTTGGATGCTTCGGTGGGGGACCGATCCCAAAGACGGACGGCTGCCAGGGAGGGCTCAACACCGAGGCTTTGCGCAAACCAACGAGCAACAAGAGATGGCTGTTGCTCCTCGCTGTCCAAACCTTCCCAGCACGGCACTCTGGGCTGAGAGGTCGACGTCTCAGAGGTCGAGGGCGCGAAGGTGACCAGCCGGTGGTGGCCAACGGGCACGTCCCAGCGACTGCTCACATAACGCCGTGCCTCCAAGAGGGGCATCCTCAGCCAGCGAGCAACAATCCAAAAACCAGACTCCTCTCAGGTGTTGACAACGCCAATGAACAGGGCAACAACATGCAGCAGGCGTGTTTTCAAGTACCTCTAGCATCTAGCATCATCCAGCCTTGGCAACTCCAACAACTCTCAAGCGGTCTTAAGCGTCGATCAGCCCTGAGCCCCATGATGAATTTGCCATCAAGTTTCTGGAACAACCTTGCCACCATCTCAACAGCCAAGGCTGCCTGCACACGTTGCTCTGACTCTAATCGAAGCCCTGGCTACTCTCAGGCCCAAGAAACGCGGACAGGCAGCCATCCAAGTAAGCCCCAGACGCAAAGCTCAGCTTCTTTGGCCGAATGGGGCAGCACCACAAGGCTTGTGGAAATGGGCCCCTTCGAGGATTGCGCGAACGGCTGAAAACTCAACACGGCAGAGAGAAGCTTCTGCGTGGCATCTGCAATGT